CCAAATAAAGAGATGAGTTTCAGAGTGCACACCTTTCCTGTTGCTCTCTTTCTCCCTGGTTAACAGTTCAGGTTTTGCCTTCTGTTAAAGTTTAGGATGGCTCCTTTTTTTTCCCACCAACTGTAAGCTTAGGAAATGTCTTCTGGGTTCTGAACTAACCTTCCTTCTCCTGTTCTTTCCCACAGGTTTTTCAGAAATTAAAATTCTTCTGTCTGAATATTCACTATGATAAAAACATAATTAGAAGGGAAAGCAAATATTGGAAACCCCAAACCTTGGTTTCTCCACAAGTCATATGGAAATGATTAGTATTGCTATTTTCATTTATTAAGTTGGTAGATGCTGAACTAAAGGAATAACTTAAAAATCATATATAAATGATTAGATGAGAACACAACTGTCTTTCTGAAGGAAGGGCTAAAAAAGATATTCATACTTAGATGTAATGATACAGGTGGTTCTATAAATACTCTGAGACCTTGGACATCCTGTGGGTTTTATAAAGTCCTCTGAAGAACACTTATATCTTTATTTCTAGGGAGGGAAGGGCACTCTACTTGGGTTCTTCAATTTACTTAATTTTTGTTTCCCTTATGTAGGAAGTCAAAACACTGACCTCATTCCAAAACATCCAACAGCCCCCAAAATTCACCATCCCAAAGTTTAGGCCCTGACTATGTTTGTCAAAAGTTTTGGGGAGGTGAGCTGTGTCATGAGAAGGAAGTTTGTGCTATTTTTAAATTGATTCAACTCATCATCGAAACATATCATACACATATCACACCAATGACACATACAGGCTGCATTGTAACATAGCATGTGTCATACATATATTCTCTCTCACTCATACACACACACTCGCTCTTCTTGTCCGGCTTTTGAAAAGGAAGGCAGCCAGAAGGCCAAGCCCAGTGATGTGAGTTGAAAAGGCTGTTAAAGTTTAAAAACCAAGTGTCCCTCTAGTTCTCAGCCTGGCTTTGAGACATGTGGGAGGGCTTCAAAGCCCCAGTGCCCCTCTTTCAGGCTCAGGCTTACAGTTGGTCCCCAAATGTTTACCAGCATGAAGATGCCTAACTTACAGGAAGCGGGAAATGGGTGTGAGGGGTGAGGGTGGGTGGGTGGGTAGGGAGTGGGAAGAAGAGGGTGGGGGGATATTCTCTTGATGTGGTTAGCCTGTCATTGACCTTGTTTGGGTATGGCAGGAGTTGAATGAGAAAACGAAAACATGTTTCATCTTGGGTACATTTCATCCTATTTTTTTTACTTTCTTTAGGAAATTTTTTTTTTTCTTTTCTTAGGAAAAAAAAAATTTTTCCCAAGTGGAGTCCAGGTCTCCAGATTTGGTACTCAGTGTCCCTTCATTCTACAATAGTCCTTTCCCTATAGAGTCATCCAGCCGCCTACGTTGCAATTCCCAATCCACCCAGGGACTGGGAGAGGAAACAAACTGGCCCAGTAGCTGAAGCCGAATGAACATTGGCTGGTTGAACTGTTGTGATGATGCCATCCACCGGAATAGATGAGGATTTCTGAGAACAGAACTATCTGGCTCATTCATGATTTGCTGCCATTGTGAACACTTTTAATGAGAGGGCTCTGCCTGAGAAATGCTGATTAATAAAGATAACTCAGGTTCTTTTCGGCGTTCTAACTTGGGGGGAAATAATAGAGTGACTAAAAACGCACCAAGTTATTACTTAGAAACAAACCCTTTGAGACGTAAGATTCCAGACAGTGGCAGCCTCCGATAGCTGTCTCTGCACAGGTGTACTGCTGCCAGGGCCTCCCAGCTTTAGTCAGCACTAAAAGGTGCACTGCTCAGGCCCTCTGGGAGGACTGAGGGAAGTTCAGAGGTCAGTCCCTTTTATTCCACCTTAGTAGTTTTGTGCTGGACAATACCTAAATATTACAATATGGACATGTTCCTTTTATTTCTTCTTCCTTTTTTGTATCTTTCATTTTAAATGATGTTATTACCCATCCTTGACTACTATAATCACAGTCAAAAGTTGGTTTGGAGGGTCTTTGTCCCATCACTTTGAGACAAGAAGCAAACATGTGAAGGATTTTACATTCCAACACTCTGTCTGAAAATCTACTTTCCTTAAAGTTCTACCCGTGGCCTTGTCCAGCTCAGCTGGACACCTGGAACTAATTTTAGGGTTGCCTGGCTAAGCCCCACACTGGTATTTGAAGTTTGCGTCCTCCCTAGACTCAAGCCCATTTCACCACCTCTGAAGGTGAGTGCAGGCTGATATTAATTAACAGTGAGTTGATTCACTGGCATCTTCCAGTCATTAAAGCAAATATTTGGCTTAAAATAGCCCTCTTCCCACCTCAAATATCAAACGTTTTGCCTATTCCCTTACTCCATCCTGGTTGACTCACCAGCAGTTGCATGATGGTGTATGTGGCCTAAGAACAGAGTTTGATTCTAAAAGGGAAGTGAAATAGTCTTTACCATCTGCAAGTGAGACTGTTTGAACAGCAGGCCAGCCTTCAGTATGACTACATTGTTTTTCTGTCCATTGTGGTGCTGACTCAGCATCAGTTAATAAACCCTCTTGAGCAGGCTGGATTTCTCTTGTTTAATTATCAGCTTGGAGCTTTCTGAGGACTATTAGGAATTGTTCATTCGGTTTTCCACCCCTAGCATATCTGCCTTCTAAAAGTCCTGCTTCCTCTTGGTGTTAGCGTCCCCTCTGGCGTAACATGCAATCACAGGTGGGCCAAGCAGCAAGCAGGGAGTGTGTGCTAATCATGTCCCCTGGTGGGAATTTAATTGTTCTGTACTGAGAGAGAGATTGCAGCAGGACTTTAGACACCATTTCCTGGCAAATAATCTTTTGCCTCTCCCCCTCCCCAAAAAAAAATTCTAGAAAAGTTTTCTAAAAGAGAGAAATTTTAAAGATAAACGACATATTTTTAGGATTGAGTTGGGCTTTTGTTTTGCTTTGTTTCCTTTCTTCCTGTAAACAAATACTCAGATGTCCACTTCATTGTATGACTAAGTTGGTATCATTAAGTTGGAACTGGGTGTGTGTATGTGGGGGTGTGTGTGTGTGGGTGTGTATGCACACGTGTATTTAAAATGTTAGAAAAGACATTGCAGCCTAAGATTGAAGGAGAGATTATTCAAAAAACAAAACAAAACAAAACAAAAAACTACCTATGGTGAGGCAAGCAGGAAAAATGGAAGACCTGGATTTCAATGATCTAAATAATAATTTAAATGGAGTGTTTGCTATAAACATTGTTTCTCTGAATTAAAGGATTCCTTGCTGAAGGCACAAGACCATTGAAGGAAGTAAAGCATCTGGTTTGTTTTGTAATGAGAAGCAGGAATGCAAGGTCCACGCTCTTAATAATAAACAAACAGGACATTGTATGCCATCATCACAGGATGTCCTTCCTTCAACAGAGGACTGACTGGGCTGGAGGAAAAGCTGGCCGAGGCTCAGAATAAGCCCCACTAATTACTGCCTCCGACCGATTTCCACTTGTAGTGATCAGTTCAATATTCCTCTGAACTGTGAAACGATTAATGCTCTACGTTTTACTTACACTCGGGAAGTCTGCCTGTGGGTTCTGGGAGGAGAGGAAAAGAAAACAAACATTAATCTGTAGAATTATAACTTTTTCCTTTTCCCCTATTTAGTAAATAGTTAAAAGAGGAAAAGCTAGTTCTGCCAAGTTTGAACGTTAGCAGGAGAAATGGAATGTTGCAAGTTTTGGGGCGGGGGGGGTGGTGGTGCGGGGAAACGTGTGCTACATACACAACAGCTTGAGGACCAGACGGCTCCACTGTATTACATTAGCTGCAAAACAATTTAACCTGCTCTTTTGAAGTAAGAGTTGTGTCTTTTGTACCTGGGGATTTGAGCTGAGAAGTTACAAAATGTGTAGGTAAATTTTAAGTTTCTTTAAGGAAAGTGTGCCCCCTAATTCTGCCGCGCCAGGAAGGAGATCGATCTGGAGTGTTTAGAATACAATAGAGCCCAAGTAAGGTTAAGTGCTGTCAAAGGGAAGTAAGATTCCAAGTCAATGTTGAAATTCACTAAGCTCTCGGCGGCTGCGCTCGAAATCTGGGGGAAAGCCCTGGGCTTGGCCAGGTGGTTGGCCACGCCCCTATTCGGCCGAGTGGCTAAGGCAATCTGAAGCAGGGAGGGGAAACCAGACACACACAGTGCGCCGTGACACTAGGCCCTCCAGTGTTGCGGAGAGGCAAGAGCAGCGCGGAGAGGCGAGAGCACCTGTCCGCCCGGAGCTGGGACGCGGGCGCCGGGGCGGCCGGACGAAGCGAGAAGGGACCGCCGCCGAGGTGCGCGTCCGTGCGGCTCAGCCCAGCGGGGGACGCGGGGAGAATGTGGACTGGGTAGAGATGAGCGAGACTTTTCTCAGATGTTGGATATTTGCTTGGAAAGACGTGTGGGTACGACCTTGGTAAGGAACTTGAATTTTTTTTTTTTTAATTCCGAAATTGATCTGAAAACTCTCTTTTCTTTTACTTTTTTTATTTTTTGCCAACGTAGTCGCAGTAGAAACATGTTTCTGCTTTAGTGCATTTAGTGCTGTCAAACATTTGTAAGACTTTCCTTATGAATCATTAACCCTTTCAGTTCTAGACATAATTGTCAATTCATTGAAATTTCAGTAGTAGTTCCTGCTCACACCCGTCAAACTATTCTGGGTTGGCTGAAGTTTTCAATTTTATTTTATTTTTAACATGTACTTGGCATCATGACTCTACATGTTGGAACTAAATAAAAATATGCAGGTTTGTTTAAGTCGTAACTGAGGGAAAAACAACTTTGCTTCCAACCTTTTTTTTTAAAAGCATCCTATTTAGAGAAGTGGAAGAATGTAAAAATCTTGAAGGACTTCCACAGAATGTTATGTTTACATTTTAACAAATATACATTCTTACATGGAAATGATATCCATATTCCTAATTTTTATCAAACATGTCTATATGAGAAAACATTACAGAAGTTGTTTACTTTTTTTTTTGCCTTTGGGAAACACTTTTTTCTGAGTGTGAGGGAGGATTTTCGGGAATATCGTTATCAGTTTACAAGTGGAAGCAGAGATTGTCCTCCAAGTCTTCTAAATTTGTTGTAACTTTAGTTACAGTAAACTGTAGTACATCAGTGACTTCTGGGAATTCATACACTTTCAGACTTAAATGGAAAGTGCTATTTGTAGCTGAAGGGTCCTAAAGGAATTCTCTCCAGGGAATTTTATTGAACAGTTTTATGTTTTGTTTTTGCTTTTTCAATTTGGTGCTATATGCCTGCAAGTCAGAAGACACTGCAGGCTGTTTTCTCCTTCACTCATTTTTCCTCCTCTTTTCCTGTGGTCCAAGTGATTTCTAAGAGGCCGTAGCTCAGTGATGCTGGCAGGATGCAACCCTTTTCAGCCTTCCATGTGAGAGGATGAAAGAGCTCGAAGCAGAGGGGGGAGGCAGTTGTTTTGAAAGTTGTTTTGCGTTGGGAGCTGGTGGGAAAGTTCAGTCTTCCCCATTTGGAAAAGGCAGGCTGGGTTCCGCTCCTGCACCACACGCGCTTTCCATTTTTAGCTTCATTCAGAGGCAGACAGAGCTCCTTCCTCTTCCTCTCCTTGTTTGTGACACTTTTCTGAGGCAGCTTTTCCACAGTGCCGAGGGTCTGGCGGCCATGACCCCAGGCATTCTGGGACACTGGACTGTGCGCCCACAACATTTTTCTGCCGTGAGAGGTAAAGCCAGGGATTGTTCAGAGGTGATTCTTTTTTTTTTTTTTTCTTTTCATTCTCCCCCGCCCCCCCGAGTGTGGCTGCCACTTTTTTTTTTTTTTTTTTTTTTTAAGCTAAGAGTAGCATTTAAAAACAAGGCAGTTTACTTTATACGGCTTTTTGGCTCTTACTCAACTGTACCAAGCACTCTGCATCTGCTTTTCAAGTCTTCAGACTACTGTATTAGTCATAGCCTCTCAGAGGGAGCCACAGGAACGGCGGGACAATGAGGATTAAAGGCCTTTCCCTTCTCTTCCAGGCTGCCCCCAAGTGTAGCCCTGGCGCTGTGAGGTTTCAGGGATTGGCAGAGGGGACCGAGGGAACCATGAAAATGGACATGGAGGATGCGGATATGACTCTGTGGACAGAGGCTGAATTTGAAGAGAAGTGTACATACATTGTGAACGACCACCCCTGGGAATCTGGTGCTGATGGCGGGACTTCGGTTCAGGCGGAGGCATCCTTACCAAGGAATCTGCTTTTCAAGTGTGCCACAAACAGCAAAGAGGTAAGCCTCTGGTTTATTGCCGAAGAAGATTGGGACCTGGCGCCAAATCTCCCTACTTGCCCTTGAGACCTTGTATATCTCTGAAAACCTCTGAGACTCTGTAAGTATCAGTAAATAATTGATTTCTCTATTCAATTCTTGCATTGCTTTCTCTTTCCCTAAATCATTTCCTTCTCATTTCCTCCAGCCTTCAACCGTTCCATCCTAGTTAGTAAACAGTTAAACATTTTGGCAAATTGACATGTCTTAGAAAAGTGCCTTGCAGCCTACGGTGGGTGAAATTGTCAGTGTACTCAAACGTCAAGAAAGCTCTGGGCTGGACCCACTGGCCCTGTTGTACAATATCTCTTAAGGGAGAAAACTTTCTTAGAAAAAAATGTTTTAATGTTTCTTTTGTCTCCCTTTGGTAATTAGTTGGCTTTATTCTTTTTAACGAGCCAACTTTATTAGCTGGGTTTCTAAAATTATTCTCAAAACTTTGACGTGTTTATGAAGTAAAGTGATGGTATAAACCGAGAAAGGGGGTCATGTAAAAGTGTCCTCTGTCCGGATGACTTCAGAGCTAACCACTGTTTATCTGCGGCAGCTCCTTTGCTGGGGCTGGGCTGGCAGGCCAATTCCTTATTGGCCTCTGAAGTGGGTACACTCTTTGTTGTTTCAAAGGGGATGAAAACCCAAACTGGGAATGAGCAACTGATTTCTGTTTACCTTTTATATAAAGACTATAGTTAGGCGTGAAGTTTAGCTGTGAAATAACTTGAAGAACCACCTCTTGTTTTCAGAATTTGGCTTACTATAGTTGCACTCACTAGTCTACTACTGGCTGGAGTTGAATGAAGGGACCCCTCAGCAGACTTCCCACCACCACCGTTAGCAGGGAGCACTGTCAATCCTATTACTGCCTTCAGAAAATAGGGAAAAGAGGATGACTGGCCATAGGAATCCAGAATTTGCTATTAGGACTGTTCCTTATAGCCATGTCAAATCACTTTCCCCTTTCCCTGAGGAACAGTATTTGAAGGAATCCGGGAGCCTGTTTGGAAAACTCTTTGTCTCTTTCCTGTTTGTATGTCTGAGTCCAGTGTGTTTTTCTTTGGTGAGGGGGAGACACAGCTGTCTAAAATTAAAACAGAGCAATGCTGCTCAATCTTTCTTTTTTCCCCCCAGTGCTGGGCGAATGGAGGCAGACTTTATAAAAAGTAAAATTTAAATTCTAGTTGTACGGGAACATTATCAAAAACTTTAGCCCCAGAGGTCAGCCTTAATTATACCCCTTCTTGAAAGTAATGCTCTTCTTAATAGAAAGTCTCTTATTAATACATGACCCTTGGAATTAATACAGGATTTGTTTAGGTATATAAGGTTTGACTGTGGCTTTAAAAGGTGTAGTGTGTTTTTTCCCCATATCAAGTTTGACCAAATATTGGTCTGTTCCCAAGGTTCATTTGTGCTGTGTTGCCCTGTTCGCCCTTTGGGACTGAAATAAAAATCTCCATTCTGTGGGTCATCTTTGCCTTTTAATTCCATAATGTTCTTATCCTCAGGTCAGCTCTTAGCTTAAGTTTTTTAAATTTCTGTCATTCTCCTTTAAAATCATAGCTAAGTCAAGTAATACCCTTAGATCATTTAGTTCAAGGTTCAGAAAGATAGTCGCTTACCCAAAGGTATATAGGTAAAGCCAGACCTGGGACTTGAAGCAAAGTTCTTCTGACTTCTCCAGTAAGTGCTTCTCGATTATGCTATACTGGCCCCTCTTGGTGTCACTGTGGTTTTAGTTATCATCTTAATATATTTCAGACCAATCCTTAAGCTATTTTGTGTTATTTTTTCCCCTCCGAATGTATAACTCCCTATTTCAATATATTAAGCAACCCAAAAACAGACAGTGCATGTGTTCCTGAAGAGGGACCTTCAGAACTAACCTAAGAGCTCAGGGTTCTCTTACCCTGTTTCCCTATATTGTATTTAACTGAAGCACTTGAATAGAGGATAGTACATCTTTAAACCCTAACCATAAAGACAAGCAAGAAGTAAACTTGAATGTAATGGTGTCTTAAGCGAGTAAGCTTAAGAATTCATACCTGTTTTTCTGTTTCTCTCCTTTGTTTTCAAACTTCGGGAAAGGAGAGCTCCCTTTAGAGATGGTGGAGTTGAGCCATTGCGGGTAGGAGAGCTGCAAACCAGTACACAGACAGCGATGTTAAGGATTGATGAATGTTTACTTGATCATTATTCACTTAGTTCTTTAAGTTCCATGAGCCGTTGAAATAGGAAGTCTTTTTATCTGACTTATTAATCTCACCCTTCTTTAAATGTTTTCATTTAAATAGCAAAAGATGTTACAGTATGTACTATTGTGCTGACCTACTGGGGAATTTTTTTTTTACAACACCATTTTTCATTATGAATTTGTACAATGTGTCAGCACGTTTTTTTTTTGGGGGGGGTGGTTAAAAAGCAAAACATACAAATCATATTTCTGATCTTGACCCTCATTTTTAGATTGAGTTTAGAATCATTCTGTACCTTTAATAAAGCTGTTCTTACTTCCTATTTCCAGAACTAAAATCAAATATAGACCTACTATTCAAAACTTTGAAAATGTTTTAAACTGATGGGTTATTCTTTTATGGGGGTTTTCCCCTTGTTCTCCTGAAATAATCTCTTGTGACTACTTGACTACAGAAAAATCAGTTCAAGCATTCATATTTTAGAAGCGTTACCCTGTAGAGTTTCTGCCCTCAGTTGAGACTGCTTACATTCTAGAAACTCTGTGAGTCTCACCTCCCTGTATCTGGCTGATAAACATCAGACAGAATATGGGGACTCCCTCGGTGTCCATTCCGATTGAAGTCCATTATTAACTCAAGCCATCTGTAAAAAGTATCTCACCATCACATGCAATTCCCTCTTCATACTGCCTTTTATTTGAGAAATGATGGGCCAAGGCATCACCATTGTTTCCTGTAATAGAAAGATAATGAAGAAGGAAACCTTCCCCAAACACCTTTGTTCACTTCACTCCTTTTGAAAATTGGGTGATTGCCAAGCACAGTGGCTCATGCCTGTAATCCCAACACTTTGGGAGGCCAAGGAGGGCAGATCACCTGAGGGCAAGAGTTTGAGACCAGCCTGGCCAGCATGGTGAAACCCTGTCTCCACTAAAAATACAAAAATCAGCTGAGCGTGGTGACGCATGCCTGTAATCCCAGCTACTTGGGAGGCTGAGGTAGGAGAATCACTTGAACCTGGGAGGCGGAAGTTGCAGTGAGCTGAGATGGTGCCATTGTACTCCAGCCCTGGCAACAAGAGCAAAACTGTCTCAAAAAATAATAATAAAATAAAATTAATTAATCAAATAAAAATGGGGTGATTGCATGCCGAAGGTCTTGGTTACTATTGAGTTCTAGTCCTCACAAGACAAACATTCGTATGGTCAAAACAATTATAATCTAACGAGTCATTCTTACAGAGTGGGATTCAGGGAGGGAGAAGAGATAACTAGTAATTTAAATGATCTTAATGTAATTTGGGGAGAAGATGATCAGATGACGTTTAGACTTGGATATTGTTTCTGCTTAAAAGCCACTGCTGTTTGTGTTTGCATACTCTCTAAAGAAGGAATTTGCTTTTAAAAAAAAGCCTATATTGTCCTTTTTATCAGACTTTCATTAAGCATTCCAACTCAACCCATCCTAAACTGTAAAATCTCCTTCATTTTGTAAAATTGAAAAGAAGCCCTGTGTTTTGTCTAGAAGCTGTAGACGTCAGGGTGTGTTCTATAACTGAGGCCACTTACAGAGACAAATCTGCCCAATTGGTGGAGGGGTCTGCACCGCACATAAAGAGCTTCTGTGGGAGCAGGTGAAGCAGGGAGGTATTGAAGCCTGGTGTCCTCTTGCTGATCGGTTTATAGAAGGCACACAGCGGCCTGTCCCCAGTAGTAATTCTTTAGGACCCTGGTCAGTTCCAGTGAAGTTTCCTTCCTCAGTTAGGTGAACAAATTCTTTGTCTTTTTAGCACTATGAAGTTTATGGCACACACCAGGTTCCGCCTTAATATTTGCTTGCTTCGAAGATAGACTACTATAAACTATGAGTCAGGGAGACAGGTTATCTGAGATGCACATTCTGGATCTTTCTAGGACCAGAGGGAGAATTAGTACTTGGTTTTCTACTCCCCTTTAAAAACAATCCTGGTTCCTATTCCGCTCCAAAGCTACCTGGACAAGCACCATAGTCTTAGAGTGTCAGCTTTTATGTCATCTTTGAGTAATGTCTCAGCGTGCATTTGAGATGAAGATGTTTATTGTGTATTAGAATGCTGGACTTAGAATGGATATAGGTGGTTTGTAAGTGCTTCCAATTTTGAAATTTTATGATTTTTGTATCTTTATGTATAGATGTGAGTTTATACGTGCCCTATAGCACTGAATATAATTGAAATTTAAAATATTAGTGCTCTGTCCCTTTCCTAACGATGACCTAATATGAAGCTCTTTAATTTGTCTGGAGCTTGAGGGTTATCATAGAGCTCTCTTCTACCACAGAGCCTTCTCTTTTTAATTGTCCTCATGTCTTGCCTGTTGCACTGCATTTGTAAGGTTAGAGATGGCAAGAGCTACTTCCAGTGCTGCTTTTATAGCTCACTACTGACTAGTCCATAGTTGTGTTCAAATAGGTTTTGGGCAGCTTATGCTTTCTAGTTGACTTATTTTGGGGCACAAGAAAATGAGTGTTTATTTCGTGTAAGATTGATGATAGCTGAAAACCTAAAGGCCCATTCTGTAAAAGAATGGGTTTGGAAGAAGAACCGTGACCTCAATGCAGTGCTCCTTGTTAGTAATCAAGCTCTGACTCCCAGGACACCATCTGTAAGAGACTATAATTTAAAACAAAGTGGATGAACCAGTTGAGTGCCTTTCTTAAAATTACTGCTGTAAAGTAGATATGTTGAAAATATCAACTGCTAATTATTGGCTCACCAACAAATGGCATTATTTGTTTTTCCTGTTTGTCGTTCTGATATTATGGAATAATCACTGAAATATGAATGTCAAATGATTTGCATGTCATAGAATTCAATTCCATGAATTTTCCAAATTAATTAGATTCAATAATAGTATGTCCAAAACAATGAGCCTCTGAATAAGTAAGTCTACTAAAGCTTTAAATATATATATTTATATCTCAAGGCTGCTCTGAGATACTCTCGTCCCCAGTAGTTTACTGCCAACAAATACCGCTAATGACAAACTGTGATTAAAAGGGGAGATAGATGTAAATGAAGGCAGAGGAGGAGGATGGAGTGAACATCTGCTTTTTTCAACTCTCTGACAGAAATTCATAAAGCACCAAAAATAACACTCTTGTTTCAACTTGTGTTAGGTGTAGGAAAATTTTCTTTTTTTCTCTTTCCAGTCTGAGTATGCTTCATTGATTTGTATATTGAATACTAAATTGTTTCAGAAAAAAAAATGATCGGTTGGTAAGGTACTTAAATGAGAAAAGCTAGTCTGTCACAGGCACATAGGTGTGCCTTATCTATTTAAATAGAGGTTTAAATGATTAATGAAAGTCCCTTAATGAGGAACTAGAGTATAGTAAAACCAAAATCGTAGATTCCACTGTGAGCAACCCATGTACATTGATTGATTCACATATTTGGGTCTACCGTTTCAGGTACATGAATGCACAGGAGCTACTAGGGATATAAAATCTGGAAAATAAACATTATCATCTGTTGCCCCTCCCTCCTCCTTGGCCCATTTCAGTAATGTAGTTAGTAGGTAATTGGTAGGCTGCCTTGAATGAGAAGAAAATAAAAATAGGCAAGTGAGAGAATAAAAACCAAAACAAAACTGTAACTGCAAAATGTTGTAAAGGACTGCTCACAGGGGAGTTCTATTGAATAGTGACGAATTGCTTCCTGATTCATGGTTGGTGATTTTTTTACCCCCTCAAAAAGAGAAATTTATTATTAAGGAGGAACTGGTATAGTTATGTTTCTTTAGCAAGGCCCTACAAAGTTAAAACGTGTGATGCATCCAGTCTGAGGTCATTTCCTCAGACCTTAGAACCAACAGCTTTCCTCAGTATAAACTTAATTTCAAAGGAGTCCTTTGGCCAAGCGTAGTGGCTCAGCCTGTAATCTCAGTACTGTGGGAGGCTGAGGCGGGAGGACCACTTGAGTCCAGGAGTTTGAGACAAGGCTGGGCAACATGGTGAGACCCCTTGTCAACAACAACAACAAAATAGCTGTGGGTGTGGTGGTGCATGACTCTAGTCTCATCTACTCAGGAGGCTGAGGTGGGAGGATCACTTGGTCCTGGGAGGTCGAGGCTGCAATGAGCTAAGATTGAGCCACTGCACTCCAGACTGAGTGACAGAGGGAGACCCTGTCTTTAACACACACCCACACACGGGCCTTTGACCACTCTTGAGTAGAAGACTGGAGAAGAACAAAGTAGAAGACCAGAGAAGAAGAGTTACTTGAAAGATCTTTTATTAAAGAGAATATGCAAGCTATGAAAAAACAAAACAAAACAAAACACACAAACCTCATATGGAATGAAAAAAACACAATGCATTTGGTTTTTGGTTCCTTGGACTGTTGTGGAACAACCAAAGAGCATTATTTTGGTTTCTGAGGTTAAACCTATTTTATTCCCCTCAAGCACACTATACTTATGGTTTGAGGGAGAAGGAGAAATAGGAAACTAGGGACAGGCTGAAAGGGTCTAATCTTGACTGTCTAATTTTGCAGTATCTTATTCTCATTCTATAAGAAAATGGTTATCTTCTCTGTTCTAGTATGAAAAATAGTGATACAACTAAAGGATCCTTTATTACCAGACAATAATCCCCTAAACTGGTTTAATGCTTGGTTGAGTATTTGCTCACCCTAAGGTGAAGCTTGTTCATTATGTACGCATCATTAATGTCTGTTCTACTTATCAAAATTTTATTATTGTTAGCTGTATTGCCACTTGATAGTCCAATTTATTCAAATGAAGAGACTGGTGAACATTTTACAGTTAATGTAATTGTTTCCTATGTTTTTTCCTCTTTAGGTTATTGGCGTGATGAGTAAAGAGTACATACCAAAGGGCACACGTTTTGGGCCCCTAATAGGTGAAATCTACACCACTGACACAGTTCCCAAGAACGCCAACAGGAAATATTTTTGGAGGGTAAGTAAGGGAAATTTCTCCAGACTCATTAAGTATTAGGAAAAAATGGAGCTACAAGAGCTGGGTGGGTTACCTCCTTTCTCATCCTGTGCTGAGAAATGCTGGGCTCACCCATAAGTATCCAGGATCTCATGGACACAGGGAATTCTGAACAAATGTGATGAAACCGATGAAATGCTTGGCCTGTAGGTGGTTAGTGATGGAGATACGGGCTATATGTGAATCTTGATTTTTGCAATTCATTAGAGTTTTGTGATGAAAGGAAACAGTTTGTTGCCTTGCTTTAAGGTAGTAGGTTCATTTGCATTTCTCTGCAAGGAAGTAGTAATGAGTCACCAAGCCTTAAATTTCACCCCTTTTTGATTTCTTGCTGACTTAACTTTAATTGAATTGAATAGTTATCGCAAATGAATAATCTTTTTTTTTTGAGTGGATTCTCATTGTCGCCAGGCTGGAGTGCAGTGGTGCTATCTAAGCTCACTGCAACCTCCGCCTCTCAGGCTCAAGCACTTCTCCTGCCTCAGCTTCCCAAGTAGCGGGGACCTTAGGCGCGTACCACCATGCCCAGTTAATTTTTGTATTTTTAGTAGGGACAGGGTTCCACCACGTTGGCCAGGATGGTCTCAGTCGCTTGACCTCATGGTCTGCCCACCTCAGCCTCCCAAAGTGCTGGAATTACAGGTGTGAGCCACCATGCCCAGCCAGGAATGACACAAATGAATTATCTTGAAAGTAAATGCCATTAAGGAAGGATAGCTGGAAGATGGGGTGAGGGGAATGGAGAAAGGACCACAGGGCTAGTCCCATTTAAATACATGTGCCCCATAAAACGATTCCATTTGACAATAAGTTAATTATCTCATAGCATAAGGAAAATACAATAATGCAGGATGATAAGCTTTCCTTTATGACATCCAACCAAAAAAGATCTAGCTAGTACAATTTCCTTTGCTATATTAGAAAGGCCGCTAGAGGTGAACTAATTAGATGGAATCCTTGAGTAAAAGACTGGATTAGCAGTGAAGAGAAAAAAGTCAGATTGCTTTCCTTCTTTCCATAGATGTCTCAGGGATATATTCAGTTTCCTCAGTTAGAAAATAAAGATATGGTTACTTAAATTTAGTAAGCGTTTTTATGCATACTTACATGAAATGTACATTATTTGAATTCTTTAAAAAGAAACAGCTGCATGATAACAAAAATTGTGTTATGTTTGCTGTAGCTGATATTTTGCCTAGAACACATATCTTTCGGACAAGTATCCTAGACACTTCTGCTAGTGAATCACTCAGAAGGTATTCCTAAGAAACAATATTTTTAATCCAGGAAGTTTTGCATTTTTAGAAATTTATCTTACCATTTCCCAAAGAGGGACAGATTCACTAAGAATCATGTGCTAATAATATTTATTTAATAATTATTCCTGCTGAAAATGTATTAATTAATAATGTTGGAACCGTGAGTGCATTTTTGCCTTTATTGCCAATAAATTCTTCTCAAAAGTGAGCCATAAAGGTGCATACTTCTTGGAGTTAAAGGTCTGAATTAAGACAGTCCAGCATAAGTCTCATTAATGTGTGATCATTTTGAGAAAAGCCAAGAAGCACCTAAGAATCTCCCCCTCACTGTCCTGGTTCCCTGTTTCATTTAGAGATTCACTATAAGTAACTGGAAGGCTTTCCTTGGGAGGATTTATTTGAATCAGTCTTTCACATGCAGAGGATATTGTAGAACATCCCAGTTTTGCTGGCAGGAATATGAACATCTGTTCTGAGGAAAGAAAAAGTTTCATGCAAATTACACAGCCAAAGAAGAGAAGGGCTGTTCAAGTTGAGAAACCAGTGACATTTCTTGTAACTGAACTATGAATCAGCACATTTTAATCTTGATAATATATGGAAGTGCAATAAAGTGGTAGGAAATAGTGTTCATTTTACGTATGCGTTATTTTATTTCCTTGTGTGTATGTGAGTGACTTCATGGCATCGACATAGCTGTTTTTAAATGAGGATACAGTAAATTGCAGTCCGAGGAAGGCTAACTGGAATCAACATACCTGTAGCTTTAGAAAGCAGCTTCCGCCCCAGCGAAGAGTGCAAGAGCGATGGAACCCCATGTTCCTGGAAGTTTGCACATCAGAGTAAACAAACTTGAAAACCCCTCTTGATAGCAGAATTCACCCAGCCTTGTTCCATTTTCTCTTAACAAAACACACCGCAAAAGCTCTCACAAGCTGCTTTGATGAAGCCACATGTATTTCCCCCTTCACAATTTACAGGAAGTTACTCTTAAAAGAAAGTGATTCTGATGTTTACCGCCTGTGTTAAAGGGACAGAGTTCCTTTTTATTTCTGATAACGTTTGAGCGAAATACAGAAACTGTCCGTAGACTAGCACAGTTAGTACGTGAGTAAGGAAAAGCAATAACCTGCTGTCCGGTAAGAGCAAAATTCCTGCTACGAACAGTGCCTTACTGACTACTTGGAGACTGCAAGTCACAGAGGACACCAGGTATTGACTGATTATGTATGTATTAAGGAAAGGTCTTAAAGTCTAAAGAAAATGTGGTACCTCCTAAAAAGAGGGAGAGAGAGAGCACTTTGTGTGGAAGGATACGGAGTGTGTTTATAGTTTCAGTAAGAGTGTACATTTTAATTTTTCTCTTTCCCTCTGCCTCTTTGCCAAGTGGCCTGAGTGCATCTGTTAACCAGAAGTAGTATTTCTCTAGGACAAACTTGAAATTCTTCATTATGCGTTGCCTTTAAGGAACAACATACTTTCTTCCTGTTCGTTTTCCAAAAACACAATGCCTGTGGCTGTGTGTGTGGTGTTTCAGCCAGCCTCCTCCCAGATAAGGGGTTCCCTCTTCCCTCCTTTGGGTTGAAAGGAAAAAGCAAGGCTGGACACGTTTATCAAGAGGAAAAGTGACTTCTCAGTAGTAGACTGTCAAACTCTGGCTGCTGCCCCAGTGTTCACTTTGTTATGGCAGGTGAGGTTCACCTCTGCCCCACCCAGTGCTTCCACAAAAAGGCAAGGTTCCAAGTATTCATATGAACAAGTGTTACTTTAGGACTTGGAGGGTTGGGGGTGGAGGATGTTTGCATAGTTGAAGCCTTGGGCGGGGGTGTAGGAAACTGCGAGTACAGAGGCCATAGAAAAAGCTGAGACTCAGTTTGACGTCGTCAGCCGGCTTAGTCCTCTACCCAGTGACTCAAAGCACTAAAAGTCAGCATAATCAGAACTGAAGTCAGTAGCTCGCCCATTTGCCATTCACTGCAGTAGCAAAAGTAGTACTCTGTGGTGGGTTAATAGGTTTGAGGCAGCTCCTTAAATGAACATTTGTGTTTCATTTTTCTGTTATTTTCCCGAACATGAAAAGACGATAAAACTGAAATGGAAAAGGTAACTGACAAAGTGTGCCTTACCTGTTTCCGCCCTTATTTCTGCTGATTCAAGACTACACTGGCTAAACTGATTTGATTTCTTTTTCTAACGAGGCAGTAGGGGATCAGAAATCACACACGGTACGGGCTGTGTTTATCCTAAGAGGTGCTGGAGAGCTTTGGGGCTGACTTCCTTTTACATGCCTGTCTTCTCTTTTGGACAGATCTATTCCAGAGGGGAGCTTCTCCACTTCATTGATGGCTTTAATGAAGAGAAAAGCAACTGGATGCGCTATGTGAATCCAGCGCACTCTGCCCGGGAGCAAAACCTGGCTGCGTGTCAGAACGGGATGAACATCTACTTCTACACCATTAAGCCCATCCCTGCCAACCAGGAACTTCTTGTGTGGTATTGTCGGGACTTTGCAGAAAGGCTTCACTACCCTTATCCCGGAGAGCTGACAATGATGAATCTCAGTAAGTGGATTACAGAACAAAAAAATAAAAAATGCCAGTAATGTCGGTTCTGCCTCTGTGAACTAATAACATGTTGTTTAATTATATGGCTTCATCATCTGTTGGACAAAGTAGGTGGCTTAAGCTAGGGACTAGGAAGAGGAAAAACCTTCTTTGAGTCCCTATTAACTATTATGAAACTTGATCATTTAAATATATTATGTATGAAGAGCTACTTTGAGTTTTGAATTCAGAATGTTATAAGAAGAAATATATGTCCAATTCTAATTTATTCATAAGCAGTTGGGAGAATTACAGGGATTGGTCCAGTCATGCTGAGTATACAAGGTATAGCCCTTGTTTGAGATACTTTGTCAGGGCTTAGACTGCATCAAAACATTTATAGATACACATTTGAATGTACAGTTAGGATCTGATGTGGAACATTGTGAGATCATTGCTAGAAAAACTTTGTCATAAATTTTCAAGTATTATTCTAAATGAATAAGCGTAAAGATTTCATATCTTAGCTTCCTTCCTTACAGTAAAAAGCTAATTATCTGATCTGATCAGTATTACGGCAGCCACCTATCACTTTATCTTAACAAATTCTCAATTCTTAGGTTTATATGCTTTTACTTCTTTTATTTGATTAAAATTGCTGTCATGACCTCTCTCTGCAAAGGGCTACACCATTTGAGTCATTCTCAAGTGATCTCTGTGAGCGATTTCAGAATTGCCGTAAGATTCTAACCTCTGCTAGAACTATGGTTGTGTGTTCATGGTTAGACTACTATATCTTATTAGCAGTTTTAAAAGTTAGTTCCTTTTGGTTTAGTTGTTAAAACTAGGTGCTCAAGTTTTTGTAGCTTTTTGTTTTGATATCATTTCAAACTTAAGAAAATATTTTAAGAAAGGACAAAGAATTTCCAGTTACCCTTTACCCAGGTTTGCCAATTGTTGATATACTGTCCGTTTGCTTTATTGGAAGGCTAAATTGTTTTAGTTCACATTTTCACCTTTGAGACATTTGTACTAAATATCAATGTTAACATAAATTGGAATTTCAACTTTGATTTTAGGACCAACAAGCAAACCAAGTACTTATCCTAGCCATAAATAATCCAACTGTATGGTTATTTGGTGTTCATTCCACACTTCATTTTACTTCATCTTCCTTAACACAGCAAGATTGTGTTTGCAGTTTTCTGAAAATCCGGGGCTATAAAAGCAGCAGGACCTCCCTAGTAGAATCCCATTTTAAGACGTGTGTTTGGGGCCCGTATACAAAAGGATACCCTTGAGCTTCAGGAAAAGAACTGGCTCCCAGGCCCCCAGTTCCAGCTTGATGGGTCTAATCAGGTCCTGACCAAAAAGGTGGCAGTTCTTTTCCCTCACTTCTCTTCAGTGCTTCCCGAGACTCTGTCATTTCCCTATCGCTGAGCCTGCCAGGAGCTATTCAGCTGTTACGGCATCTGTGTGTGCCAGGCCCAGTGGTGAGGGCCTGGAGCAAAAGACAAACGCACAAGCACAGCAGCACTTTTGTGGCGCTCATATGCCAGCCGGGCACCTCAGAAGCATGCAGCTCCCTCCTGGCTTTCTCAACATGGTGAGCCACTTCCTCTTAAAGGTCTCCTTACGTTCTTTGAGTTTAATCATTCATGGATTCAGAGGAAAGTCTTTTGATTTTTGTTTTTCTTTAAACAGTTCATTTGAGGTGACCCATCCCAGTGACTTTGCATCAACCACCAAGAAACTTTTTTGCATACTTCACACACCCTGTGCCAATCAAGGGAAGGGTTTAAGGGCCTGGCATTTTTATTCCCCAAGGAAAGGCTCTGCACAGCATTTTAAGGTTCAAGTGCTTCTACTTTGTGTTCAGAAGCAACTTTCATATATACTGTGAAATGACACCTTTTATTTATCCCTGTTTATTTATGCAGAATGTATCCCCCTTTTATTTTGGCAGAATGTTTTCTAAATGGTGGCTTAGCATTTTCAAGTACATTTCATTGTCCAATATTGATAGTAAAGAATGAGAGTTAACAAATACCCAGTCACATTAAAACAAGATTCCTGCTGCCAGTTGTGAAACCAGTTGTCTTAGGCGTGGCAGGTGATGATTGAGACTGTGATCAGGAAAATTTCCACTATTTCATCAGGCCTAATAGGTAGATTGTGTCTCCAAATGAATTGTTTTGGGTTTTCGTGCATAAAGCACAACAGAGGCGGTGCAAGAATCTCCATGAGGTTTTAAATGGCAGTGATGGTTCAGATGGTAGAGTTTGAAGAAGGGATTTGAAACAAACCAAAGTAAAGAAAATTAAGTAGCCAGAAATCACAAACTGGCATTTTTCTAAAAACAAAGGAAAAGGAATAAAAGAACTAATAAAATTGAAACCCCTACCCCTCCCAAATTTGGGGGGTATTTTTTTTTCTGTCTATCTAACTAAACCATCTAGAAAACAGTTGACCAAATTATAGACTTCTAAATGTTAATCTGCTTTCTCAGTTTCAGTTGAAAAGAGACTTTGTTTTGCCTACTGCAGAACTTCTAGGTTCTTTCTTGTAGTCTTGGGGTTCTTATTATAGATCGAAAATGTGAGTCGGCATAATTAAGCCATTCAGAGCCTTGAGAAGCAGTTCACTCTTGAAATGACTCCGTCCGCCTACAGCCATTTAAGATTTCAGAACAAAAACAGATCTTGATTTTCTTTTTCATGTTAACTCAAGCTGCTGCTGAGTGGGAGAGTCAGAAATGACACCAGCTCCACTGATTACTCAGCTGCCGAAGGATGATTTTTAAAAATGCACCTTTACTGTATATGGACTTCATAATTTCCACCTGTAGAGCATCTTAGGGAGGCTAACATGTCACTCTGGATGTTCTTTTAGAATAAGGTGTGAATCTATTTTTCTGAAGGTATTAGAGCTGGCAAACATTGTGAATTTATTATATACTGGGCACTGTGCTAAGTATTTGGCATAGAAAGTTTAAAATTTTGACTTTTTTGTTGGCCCAATCATAAGTTTCATATCAGCTCAATAATCAAATTATATTAAGGTGCTTAAGAAGAATGCCTAGCTAAATGTGAGGGGCATTGCCATGGATGGACTGAAACTTTATGCTTGTTGCAAATTTATGCTTCTTCTTTGTTAACTTATAGAACCAAGGGAGTATGGAAGCCACTGTAAAAAATATGAGACTTAGATATGTAATTTGCCACCTAAAAATGGCTCACAAGTCATGAGGGTAAAGTTTTTTGTATTTTCATTTTTCTTAGAGTGGCATCGTTTTAAAAAAGCATTATTAATTTGAGCTTATATAGTTGTTTCCAAGTCATTCTTTTTCACCTTCATAAAATTCCTTCCTGTGGCTGTGAGATGCCTTGCTATCAGTTTTCCAGCTTAGTTGTCTTTCTTGTCCTTTACCATTTCAGCTTTAAAAAACAAAAGTGACAATTAGAACTTCCTGCCTGCTGGGCCTCACTGAAAGACTGATATTGGCCTGATAAGGAGATATTTATTTTGGTTTAGTGGCTTCAGAAATCCCTCTCCCTCAGCAAGCTTTCCATCACAGCCCCCATCAGCATCTTCCCTGATAGTGTTGTTCTCTGTGTTTATTCTGGGGCTTCAGGCTCGCCCAGGAGGAACTGATAACAGCTGGCAGGAGATAACATTCTCTGAGGGGCTCTCAAACTGGAATCGAATCCCTCAAGCCAGTCAGCCTAGAGAATAGATTTGAAGGGTTCAGTTCTGGAGTTTCACAGAGTTCATTTCTAGATCTATCAGATAGCAAGCCTGGAGTTCTTTCTCCACTAAATTCAAGCAGGGACATTTTTTAGATGATGAAGGATATTTGCACAAAGGCTTCAGCGCATTCTCCCAAACCTGCCGCCTCTGAAGGCATCTCCACACATCATCGACAGCCGATGCCTTCCGTGTGTTCCTAGGGCGGGGTATCCTGGCTTGAGCGACTGCCCTCCAATAATCAGAGCTCAAACCTAAACAACTTATGTTTTACTTTTGGTTTCCAGGCAAGGGCTGAGCAGGGAATTTTCAGTTTTCCCTGCTCAGATGGGTGTTTTCCGGAAGGCATTATTTATTGTGTAGCAGGGAGACAGGGCTGGCTGTGGCAGGGATAGTCTAGAACTGTCCTCATTGCTGCTGTTCCTAAATAGTACATTTACCAAGTAATAATGTGCCATCTTTGGGAATAAATGCTTTCCTCTTAGCCTGCTCTGTTTTCTTGAGTGCACTAAGTAATTGAACTGGCTCAGGAAGTACCTATTGTGGTTTGGCAGAGGTGACTGTCACGCCTTGTGATTCCAGGGGCTAGCGCTGCTGGGATCCTGGCTAGACCAGACAGAGCCTTGCTGAAGTGCTTAGGCCATCTGCACAGCACAGGTAAGGTGTGCCATTCACTTCGCTAAGCACCTTGGCATAGGCAGTTTGAACAGGGCTTTATCAAATTCGTATTCAACAAGAGTAGAGGTGGAAATTGATGACTCTGTATTACTTGAAATGAGTCTTAATCTCTCACATTTAGTTCTCAGGGTGTGCTGATTTCCTTTAGGTAAACCATGAACATCAGAAAGACTTTTGTTAACTTGTGACAGCGTCCCCACCTCAGTGTTTTTCCACCTGGTTTTAATGGGCACTATCTGACTCCAGCTCAAACAGCAGTTTTCTGTCGTAAGGTGTGTGCTAATGAAAACAGAATCATCCAAGTGCGGCTGTGTGTTCTGTCCGTGCTGCCATTGTCCCCCTTTTGCTGAGAAGGAAACGGAACCGCACTTCTGAGTGAGAGGCCCAGAGCTCTGTAGCATGAGAGCGCGTGGGAAGTCAGATGTATGGGATTGTGTTCCCAGCTGGTACTCAGGCTTTCTCAAGAAGGGGCAGCAGCTTTGGCAATTTTGCTTCAGTTCTCTCCAGGCTTCTGTGTAATCGCCCCTTCTTCTTCATTTCAGCACAAACACAGAGCAATCTAAAGCAACTGAGCACCGAGAGAAATGAACTCTGCCCAAAGAATGTCCCAAAGAGAGAGCACAGCGTGAAAGAAATCCTCAAATTGGACTCCAACCCCTCCAAAGGAAAGGACCTCTACCGTTCTAACATTTCACCCCTCACATCGGAAAAGGACCTCGATGACTTTAGAAGACACGGGAGCCCCGAAATGCCCTCCTACCCTCGGGTTGTTTACCCCATCCGGGCCCCTCTGCCAGAAGACTTTTGGAAAGCTTCCCTGGCCTACGGGATGGAGAGACCCACTTACATCACTCACTCCCCCATTCCATCCTCCACCACTCCAAGCCCCTCTGCCAGAAGCAGCCCCGACCAAAGCCTCAAAAGCTCCAGCCCCCACAGCAGCCCTGGAAACACGGTGTCCCCTGCGGGCCCCGGCTCTCAAGAGCACCGGGACTCCTACGCTTACCTGAATGCGCCCTACGGCACGGAAGGTTTGGGCTCCTACCCCGGCTACGCACCCCTGCCCCACCTCCCGCCAGCCTTCATCCCCTCGTACAACGCTCACTACCACAAGTTCCTCCTGCCCCCCTACGGCATGAATTGTAATGGCCTGGGCGCTGTGAGCAACATGAATGGCATCAACAACTTTGGCCTCTTCCCGAGGCTGTGCCCTGTCTACAGCAACTTCCTCAGTGGGGGCAGCCTGCCCCACCCCGTGCTCAACCCCCCTTCCCTCCCAAGCTCGCTGCCCTCAGACGGAGCCCGGAGGTTGCTGCAGCCGGAGCATCCCAGGGAGGTGCTTGTCCCAGCGCCCCACAGTGCCTTCTCCCTTACCGGGGCCGCTGCCAGCATGAAGGACAAGGCCTGTAGCCCCACGAGCGGGTCTCCCACGGCGGGCACAGCCGCCACGGCAGAACATGTGGTGCAGCCCAAAGCTACCTCAGCAGCGATGGCAGCCCCCAGCAGCGATGAAGCCATGAATCTCATTAAAAACAAAAGAAACATGACTGGCTACAAGACCCTTCCCTACCCGCTGAAGAAGCAGAACGGCAAGATCAAGTACGAATGCAACGTTTGCGCCAAGACTTTCGGTCAGCTCTCCAATCTGAAGGTAGGCCTCGAGACAGAGCAGCCCCGGGGCTGTGGGGCTGTGAGTGTGTGCTTGTGTTTGTGTTTAGCTTGCCCTCCGCAGGGTGTCAGTTGCATCTGCAGCAGTGTGAGCCTCAGGTTGGGAGAAGTGGGTATGGATTCTGCCTAACTTTTGCCACTTCTAGCTCTGTGGCTTTGGACAAGTGATTTCCCCTCTCCTGATTTTCTTCTGAATAATAATTTTTTAAACATGGGGGTTTGGACTAGAAGCTTAGGTGAAACATCCTGCTAGCCTGTGCTTTTTGTGCTTTTAGTTTAAGAAAAGCACCATTCTGAAAACACTAAGATTGATTCTGTTTAAGACTGTCTTGATGCTTTTCTTAAGCTATTTGCAGCCTAAACACTTGAGTCTTTGAGCAGAAATGGTAGGTCTCAGAGCCGGCTTGAGAGCAGAGCTAACACATGTGGCTTCTTCCCAGGTCCACCTGAGAGTGCACAGTGGAGAACGGCCTTTCAAATGTCAGACTTGCAACAAGGGCTTTACTCAGCTCGCCCACCTGCAGAAACACTACCTGGTACACACGGGAGAAAAGCCACATGAATGCCAGGTGCGCAGTATTCTCTGGGTAGACCTTCTGACCTTTGTAGAAAACGTCTGTGAGTCACCCTCGCATGTTCTACAGCCCGTAAAGCCAACACAAGCTTCTGCCTCGTCCCAGGCGGATGACACTGCGGGCCTCCCCAGTGCTCTGTATCTGCTGATGAGCTGAGAGGACAGGCCCAGCTTCCAGAGGGTGGGAAAATGGTAGGGGAGAGAAACAGCCCCTCGCGTGCAGTGTGCCCACATCCCTCTGTTTGCTTCATACCACACTGGAGGTGCCACATGGAGGCTTCTGACCTCCCAGGTTGCTGGGCATTGGCCTGTAAGCCCTCCCCTCCCATCGGCAGCTCTTAATCTTCTGGTCTTCCTGTCTCCCTTCCCTGCTGTCTCTCTGCCTGCACTGTAGGTCTGCCACAAGCGATTTAGCAGCACCAGCAATCTCAAGACCCACCTGCGACTCCATTCTGGAGAGAAACCGTACCAGTGCAAGGTGTGCCCTGCCAAGTTCACCCAGTTCGTGCACCTGAAACTGCACAAGCGCCTGCACACCCGGGAGCGGCCCCACAAGTGCGCCCAGTGCCACAAGAACTACATCCATCTCTGTAGCCTCAAGGTTCACCTGAAGGGGAACTGCCCTGTAGCCCCAGCTCCCGGGCTGCCCTTGGAAGACCTGACCCGAATCAATGAAGAAATCGAGAAGTTTGACATCAGCGACAATGCTGACCGGCTCGAGGACATGGAGGATGACATCAATGTGGTCTCTGTCGTGGAGAAGGAAATTCTGGCCATGGTCAGAAAAGAGAAAGAAGAAACTGGCCTGAAAGTGTCTTTGCAAAGAAACATGGGGAATGGACTCCTCTCCTCAGGGTGTGGCCTTTACGAGTCATCAGATCTGCCCCTCATGAAGTTGCCTCCCAGCAACCCGCTACCTCTGGTACCTGTAAAGGTCAAACAAGAAACAGTTGAACCAATGGATCCTTAAGATTTTCCGAAAACACTTGTTTTGTTTCTTAAGTTATGACTTGGTGAGTCAGGGTGCCTGTAGGAAGTTGCTTGTACATAATTCCAGCTCTGCAAAGCTCTCTTGATAGCAAATGGTTTCCCCTCACCTCTGGAATTAAAGAAGGAACTCCAAAGTTACTGAAATCTCAGGGCATGAACAAGGCAAAGGCCATATATATATATATAAATATATATATATATATACATATTATATATACTTATTTACTCCCATGTCTATATATTTGCCCCTGTGTATTTTGAATATTTGTGTGGATATGTTTGCATAGCCTTCCCATTACTAAGACTCTTGCCTAGTCTTAATTATTTTTTCAATGATAATCCTTCATAATTTATTATACAATTTATCATTCAGAAAGCAATAATTAAAAAAGTTTACAATAACTGGAAAGATTCCTTGTAATTTGAGTATAAATGTATTTTTGTCTTGTGGCCATTCTTTGTAGATAATTTCTGCACATCTCTATAAGTACCTAAGATTTCGTTAAACAAATATATGACTTCAGTCAACCTCTCTCTCGCTAATAATGGTTTGAAAATGAGGTTTGGGTATTGCCAATGTTAGACAGTTGATGTGTTCATTCCTGGGATCCTATCATTTGAACAGCAGTGTATATAACTTGGGGGTATGTGTGCAGAATTACCCAATAATAACTTAAGTAGAAGAAATAAGAAAGGGAACCTTGGATGTTTTTGTTGATAGTTCATGTTTTTCCCCCAGCCACAATTTTACCAGAAGGGCGACAGGAAGGCTTTATCAACCTGTCTCCAAAACAGCAGGATCCTCCCACCACCAGTGCCCCCGTCCCCCACAGTCCTGTGGCCATTCAGAGCGGCCACATGACTTTTGCATACCATTGTATTGTCAGAAAATGTGAAGAAGACAAAATGCCATGTTTTAAAACCACTGCGAAATTTCCCCCAAAGCACAGGCGGCTTCGTATGTGTGAAGTTTGGGGGCTTGAGTCTGGGTGTTGTTTTGTTGTTGGTTTTTGTTGCTTTTTTTTTTTTTTAATGTCAAAATTGCACAAACATGGTGCTCTACCAGGAAGGATTTGAGGTAGATAGGCTCAGGCCACTCTTTAAAAACAAACACACAAACAACAACAAAAAAAACGGGTATTCTGGTCATTTTGGGGTAAAAGCGGGTAATGAATATTCCTATCCCCAACACGTCAATTGTATTTTTTCCATAAAACTCAGATGTTCCTCAGTATTTGTGTTTTTACATTTTATGGTTAATTTAATGGAAGATGAAAGGGCATTGCAAAGTTGTTCAACAACAGTTACCTCATTGAGTGTGTCCAGTACTGCAGGAAATAATGTCTTATCTAATGATTTGCTTCTCCGCAGGAGAAGCCGAGTAAATGTGCTCCAGCAAGATAGACTGTGTCATTCTCTCTTTTATTCTGCTAAGCCCAAAGATTACATGTTGGTGTTCAAAGTGTAGCAAAAAATGATGTATATTTATAAATCTATTTATACCACTATATCATATGTATATATATTTATAACCACTTAAATTGTGAGCCAAGCCATGTAAAAGATCTACTTTTCCTAAGGGCAAAAAAAAAAAAAAAAAAAACAACAAAAAACAAGGCTTTTTGAGACTTTGCTTAATACTTGATGACCTCACAATCACATCCGTATGTTGGGCACCCCTTGCCTACTCTAAGAGGCCCTAAAGCCTTGGTGCAGTGGTGGGGACTACAAAACAACCAGGGAGGAGGAGATACTTTTTTTTTTTTTTTTTTTGAGACGAAGTCTCATTCTGTCATCCAGGCTGGAGTGCAGTGGCACGATCTTGGCTCACTGCAGCATCCACCTCCCAGGTTCAGGCAATTCTCCTGCCTCAGCCTCCTGAGTAGCTGGCATTACAGGCGTGTACCACCACACCCAGCTAATTTTTGTATTTTTAGTAGAGATGAGGGTTCACCCTGTTGATCAGGCTGGTCTCGAACTCCTGACTTTGTGATCCACCCACCTCAGCCTCCCAAAGTGCTGGGATTACAGGTGTGAGCCATCACGCCCAGCCCATTTTTTAGTATTAAGGACCATCTAAGATGGCTCTATTTTTTTTGCCACGTTATCATTATGGGGTCACACCTAAATCATAGAAATACAAAACTGACTTCACCACTGTAACTTTTCTCTTTCCTTTCTTACTAAAGACTAATACATCACTAGTCATTCTATTTTATAATTGTATTTGACATTTTGTTCACATCAACTCATGTTCACCTGCAGAGGAGAACAAATTTCGAATAATCCAGGGAAACCCAAGAGCCTTACTCGTCTTCTGTAACTAGCAAGACTGACAGCTTTTTATGTATCGGTGTTTGATAAACACAGTCCTTAATTGAAGATTAAACCAAAGCATCACACTGACATTAGACCAAACACTTTTTATTCCCAACTACTCCTTTGTTGTTCTTCCGTGCTTTCCTGTAGTGAGAATTTTTCTAAAGACTTCCCGCTTCTCTCGCCATCCATCCTTCTCTTTTCCGCCTCTTACATGTGAATGTTGAGCCCACAATCAACAGTGGTTTTATGTTTTTCCTCTACTCAAAGTTAAAACTGACCAAAGTTACTGGCTTTTTACTTTGCTAGAACAACAAACTATCTTATGTTTACATACTGGTTTACAATGTTATTTATGTGCAAATTGTCAAAATGTAAATTAAATATAAATGTTCATGCTTTACCAATCCTTGTCTAGTGTCTTGCATGAAGGCCAGTGAGCGACATCTTCTCCATACTGTACAATGGCACCAGGCCAGATTTCAAACACAACAGTTTGCCTGTCCCCCACCCCCACCCCTGTTCCGCTTCAGCAGCACCCTCTGGTATGCCCTGATCTCCTCCCAACTCCTGCCAGGACTATATTTGTGCGTGATCTGACAGCATCGATCTGTCATAACTGTAAGATTTCTCTTTATGAACTATAAAAATGTTCTCTAAAGGAGGCACGTCAAGCATCAGCCACTAAGTGGGAGACAATTTGTTTTGTGAACTTTTATATTTTATTTTGTCAATGGACATGGGGTGGTGAGGAGATAAGGAGGACTTGGATCACCTCCAGAAATGCCCCGCCAGCTTGTGCCAGTCTGTGTGCATGTGTGGAGACTCAGCCCCCTATGGGAGTTGGGCTCTGGGAAGCTTGTAGGAACACTTTGCCTGTTGGTGACAGCAGCTTCAGTAGCTTACTCTCGGCAGGCCATGGGGAATGCCCTAAGTCCCATGTTTTCTCCCCCACATAGATGTAGATGTGCTACTTGTGCTTTTTTTTTTTTTTTTTTGAGACAAGGTTTTACTCTGCCACCCAGGCTGGAGTGCAGTGGAATGATGATATCTCACTGCAGCCTTTACCTCCCAGGTTCAAGCCATCCTCCCACCTCATCCTCCTGAGTAGCTGGGACTACAGATGCATTCCACCAGGCCTAGTTAATTTTGTTTATTTTTGATAGAGACAGAGTCTCACTATGTTGCCCAGGCTGGTCTCCAACCCCTGAACTCAAGCGATCCTCCTGCTTTGGCCCCCTAAACTGCTGGTATTACATGCATGAGCTACCGCACCTGGCCCACTTGTGCATTTAAAATAAATTTCCAGAAAGCTACTTTCCCAGAATCTGAGCACTGTTAGTGTGAGAGCCAGGAATCTTGGTGGTACAGCCATGTGGCCCTGTGTGATGGGACAAGTTTAGCCATTCATGCTCCAGAAACTAATCTGTCTCCAGAGAAAAGGTTCACATAAATTCGAGTCTCATTTGATAGATGTAAGTAGGAGATGCTTCTAGAAAAGTGATAGTGTACTCAGTGAAAAGAGAATCTAAAAGCCCTTTGCAAGTGGTTTTCATGCTTCCCATTTCATCTATTAGCAAATTTATGGTTTTATGCACATGCTAACTGCATGTTAAAAGAAAATAATGCTCCTGCTTACACTTGGACACTCAGAACTGCCCGATATTTTGTTTTTAATGTTTCTTCTTTAAATTCACTTCAACATCTGTGCCAAGAATTTGAAATGCTGCCAACATGTAACTGTGAGGTTAAGAAAACCAGAACCCTATTGTCATAAACGTGCCAAATGGTGCTGGTTATACTCCTAAATTCTACAGAACCATTGTGGTAATAATTTTTCAAAACAAAGTTCAATAAGATCCTGAGTGTCACAGTTAAATCCTATAAATCACAGTTCTTTACTTGGCAAATCATGTCTTTTTTTTCTTGAGAGTTACATATCTTGGGAACACTTGTGGACTTAGCTGTTTAACAAAACATTACATAAAAAGATAATATTCACTAATGAGCCCAAGTCCACCCAGCCAAAGTCCATACTGCTGGATCAAGGCTTCATGCAGCTATTTGTAGGGCAAAGTAAGACTGAAGAAGTCACCTTTTTCTGACTTTTCCTTTAGCAAAATAAAAGCTCTGTGCTGAAATTATGCATTTAATTCCCTACCATAAGCCAATATAGAGAATATACAGTACTATGGGAGGCTATAGGTACGTTTCTAGATATTTTTCCCTTGGGGGAAATGAAACCAATTTAGGACCCATAAGTTGGTATAAATGAGCTTATTCCTTTGTGTGTGTCTGTGTGTGTGTGTGTGTGTGTGTGAGAGAGAGAGAGAGAGACAGAGAGACACAGAGACACAGAGAGAGAAAGAGAGACACACACACACACACACACACACAGAGATGCCTTCTCTAAAAGGAGAAGAGAAAAGGCCAGAACAGAGGAATGAAAGTAATTAGAGGCACATGGCAGAGAATTTCTAATGCAAAACCAGGCCTCCAGGATAATCCAGTCTAGAAAGGAAGGCTGTACCCCAGAAGGCAGCAGCTAAAAGAAGTGATGAACAGGAGAAGAGTTAGATAGAATGTGATCTTTGAACCAGTCCAGAAGGCACTTCTAGTTCCTTTCAGAGACTGTGGAGCTCTTCGCCCATAACATGTCATTTCATTCTCAGCTTCTGGCCAGAAGAAATTAGATCATTTTGAGCAGCGGCTACCAAGCCCACTTCTGGGTATGTAGTAGCTACAAGGAATGTTACAGGATCGGTGGGTAAGCTTCCCCAACATCGTTTTTCAAGCTACAAGTCCTCAGAACCCAAGTTCATTTGCTCCAAAGTGCTGCTGACAGCTGCTCCT